TGACTTTAACGATGGTAACAATAGTACTGAGAATAAAAGTGAATATTCTTATAAACCTCGTGAAGAAGGGGCAAGGGATTTATATGCAGAAGTTATTTTATGGTTATATGTGTGTTATGGTATGGCATTCATGGCATTTTATTGTAATGATGAGGAAAAGACTGGTAATAATTCTATAGATGAAGAATTTGAGAGTAGTGATACTTTTAGAGAGGATAATAAGGAAGATGTCATAGATGTTCATTTTGAGGAGAATGATGATTCTGAATAGGAGAATATATTTTTATGCTTATATAAATATAAATATATGTTTAAAATTACATTAAATAAGAATACATTAAAAAAAAAAAATATAATATAAAGCACAATAAATTAAAATATGGAAGAATGAAATAATTTTCCAAATAAATGTCAAAAAAAATATTAATTTCATATACAAGCAAAAATAAATATAATATATAAATCTATATTATAAATGTTACATTTACTAAATAATTTAATCACAATATAATAACTATTATGTGTTCACATATGTCAATAATATGTTCTGAACATTATTATTAAAAAGACAAAAAACGAAAATTAAAGTAAATACCAAAGTACTAATATAAAATATATCATATTAATATAAAAATAATAATCATTAAGCTAAACCCTAAAATGTGAAATAAAAACATACCCATAACCTAAACCAAAAACTAAAAATTAATCCATAACACCTAACCCCTAAATCGTGAACCATAAACCTAAACCACGTAACTTTTTTGTTTATATGTTACATGTATATATATTTTTTATATATTTAAAGAATTTTCTTGATTATATATTAATATAAAATATCATAAAAAAAAATAATATTTATTATACGTAAATGGTACTAGTGAAAAATCATATAAAAAAAATATATATATATATTTATATTAACAATATTATTATAATAATATAGTGTTCCTCGAAATTTTAGAATTATTAAATATATATCATAGCTTCCGTTTTAAACATTTTTATTAGTAAAGAAAAAATACGTATAAAGTTATAAATATAAAGTATACAATATTAGAAACTACAATTCGTATTAAAAAAAACAAGTAATTTCTGTAAGTTCATTATAAATATATATATATATATATATGCATTATATATAAAAACAATGGAGTAAAAAAAAAAAAAATATATTGAAAAGAATAAAGTAAAAAGTAATATTATGTAACAATACGTATAAAATATATGCACTTTATATTTTAACAATTTATATTTTATAGCCATATAATTATTATTTTAATAAATATTTATATTTATTTAACGAATATATGAAAAATATTAGTATTATAAAATTCTCATTAGAATATTGTAAATGATTCATAATTTTAATAACCTGTTCGCGTTTATACATATCATAATGAAATTTTATTATTATATCTGTTATATTCATAGATGATTAAATAAAAATATATATACAATTATATTATTATATATGATCGTATGAATTACTAATATAAGATTCAATATTATATACATGAAATTTTGACAATTCTGTGTAACTTTTTTATGTATAATGATCTAAAATACACAATACATATAATTGCCTTTCATTTTTTATATATTATTACGAAATTTATGAGTTTAAATCTATTAATGCTAAAAATATATTTTTAAAAATATTCTTGAAAATATATTTGTAAATATTATCACTAAAACTTAAACCTACATAAATTATAACTAAATCCATTAATATACAATAGATAAAATCAAAATAAGATAACTAAACAAGTATTTTTAAACATTTATATTATAAAAATATGTTTCATTTGCTTTCTGATAGAAAATATTTTGCTATTATTTTAATGCTATATATAGAGCATTAATACAAAAATATTGTTTATTATTGAAATTATCATCATTTTTTACTGACATAAATATATTTTTAATCTCATATATATATGATAACTGACGGTTTTAGCGTTCCGATATAATGGCATAAAATACAATAACATAAGCATATAAATTTTTAAAAATATGAATTCAAAACATTTTGTAAACAGAGAGAAATATATTATTTAAAAAATATGTCATAAATTTAACAATTATTATAATATAATGAACAAAAAAAAATCTATAGTAAATAAAGAAATACATTTATTTATGTGAATTCATTTACTTACGACATAATGCCTGGGTCCACGGATCAGAATAAAAATGTATGCTTCTTTTTGTAATTAATATATTTTTTATATCATTTATAATACCGTTTTCTATGAAGTAGATAAATTTTGTTTTTCTTTAGTGTATTAATATTAATTAACTAATACATAATAATATACTTCTATAGTTCGATTTTAAGGATATATTTCCTAAATGTATAAAGGACTTTAATACTATTGAAAAAGAAAAGGGAAATAATGTTCACAATGATAAATTTTATATTGTGTGCTATTTAATTGAAAATGAATTAAATATTAAAATGCAAGGTTTTATAAACTTTTGTGTTTACTTTAGTAACTATTTGGAACGTATAATTCCTAAAAATGTTGACAATAGAGAGCCATATTGTAAATATTTCAACTACCTACTAAAGGATGTACTATATTATCTTTCAAGTTCATCTTGTTCAGGTGAAAAAAAATGTTATCAGGAAATGATAAAAGTATACAAAAAAAAAGATATGAATAATATGAATATATGTGATACCTTTGTAAAAGATCTTGAAGATAATGTTTATAAAGTATTGAATTATCTGAATTCCCTTTATAATTATCTTGAAGTTTTAAAAATTGATAGCAGTGCATGTGAATCCAATACTTCTTGCTTTCGACACTATAATGATTTTTTAAAAAAATGTGATGAAATGAAAAATGACAGTCTAAATAATGTTATGGGAATAATTAAAGAACAATTTAAGTATTATGTCAGGATAGAAAGAGAAATTATACCTGTCCCAAAACAGTTACAATCAACCCCTTTGATAACTGCACGAAAGGTGATTATAATTATGTGTATTATTACACTTGCTATAACGTTTATTCCGTTTATTCTATATAAGGTTAATAATAAATTAAATCTACATATTGTATATTATATTAAAAATTATATTACGCATTATGATAATAATATAAATCAAAAATTATTGTGTATATAATAATCACATGTTGCATTTTTATAAACAGAACACAACATGTCGAACATATTTAGAACCAAGTTTAAGGGAGTTAAAAAAATACTGGCACAAAAAAATTAAACAGAACTTAAAATTATTTAATCAATTTGAAAACAGTTTTGAGGAATTAATGGATAAAAATTCTGAAAAAACATATAACACTTTATACTACCCCTAAAAAAGTTATAATAACAATAAATAATCCTTATTTTTTATTTTAATAATATAATAATTTATTAATAATACTATCTTTTACAAAATTAATAGACTAAAATAAATAATTATAGGAACAAAAATTTTTTAAATTAATGAAAAAATATGAAAAAAAGTACATTGTAATGTTATATTAATACTGGGAAATAAATTAATACACAGTTTGGAATCATTGTATATGAAAGAAGAGCAAATACAGATATACATAAGAAAACAGATAATTAATAATTTATAAGCATTATTTTATAATTATTAAATATTTTAATTAAATATAAAAATATCTATATGATCAATTTTAATAAATGAAGTTATATTTGTAATATAGCATATCCTCTATTTCTTCTATATAATAAATAACAAAAATATAATTTTAATGGAATTTAAACATATATATCATAGAAATTTTTATAATTTGGAAGCTGCTTGTCTTCCTATATATTATAAAATATAACATAAAAAAAAAATTTTATATCCTTTCATAACACTTATATTTTTGAAGTTTTCTTATTATATCTTCTTTAAAAGTTTATATTCTCACAAGAAAAATGTTATCAATGTACACTCTTTTTAATTAGCTACCTATATATATATTCAGATATATATGAACGGTATTTATATATGTTATAAATAATATATTGGAATTATTACATCTAATTCAATATATATAATTTATCTTGAGAACTACTTTTAATGCATATTGATATAATAAAAGGTTTTTTGATATAATATGGTGTAAAGTTTTTATAAAAATGTACATAATAAGGTATATTTTAATTAAAAATAAAAAATAGATAAATGTTTAAAAAAAAAATCTTTGTAACTAGTATAGTTAAATTTTAATTTAATTTTATATAGCTTAAAATGGGAATCATAAATATTAGATGATATTATATTTACTTAGTAAATGATAATTAATTTTTGTAATGTACTTTAGTATTAAATATAATTTTTTTTTATTTACCTATATATATAACCCTAAAAAATTGTTAATATTTTTTATATCTTTTTATCTTTATAATTATGTCTTTCATAAATAAATTTTGTTCGTGAAACGTTAATGTTAGGAATAAGGTTTTATGTAATAATTATTTTTATTATAATACAATAGACTGTATGCATATGTTCTATATATTATTATATATTATTACTTATATATTCATCATGGTATATTGTAATAGTAATTATAATTAAGCAACATGTTGTGTAATGGAATATAATTTAGCTAATTCACATATATATAAAACATATGAATATAAAAACACACAACATATTTAAGAAATAAAAAGTATCATTCTTTCTTACATCATTAAATGCACTTATGCGATTATAGTTCTCAGTATTATCTATGTTATAAAAATTATCGATATTACTCCTATAATAAAAGAAAAATATATATTATAATATAAAATGTCATATTAATTGAATTATATAGTAGTATAGAAATTAATGATATATTAGAATTCATGTCACACCATTTAAGTAAAAAATATATCATTTAATATAATTTCACATATTAATATCATAATTTTGGGAAAACATGGTATACACTATAAAACGAACATCATATGTAGGTTATTAAAAGCATTCTAACTAAGAATTAATTTTGATCACATTTATATTATAATTGAACGCGAATTTTTATATAATACTATATAATAGAATTGCATGATATATATATAAATCTCCTATATCCATTGAATTAAATTATTACATTTATGATATCATTTAATAAAAAAAAAAAAAATTATATTTATGCAAATCGAAGAATGTTAAATATATTAATTTGAATAGTTATGCGTTTTATATTTAGTCATTCTCCATGAAATTAATAATATTATTAATATTTTCTATTCATTTTATTGATGTACATTATATTAAATTTAACAATTATATGGTGTCCTTTCTATTTAATTATAAGAACTATTTCATTTTTATGTAAAAATATCAATAAAATCAATATCATATGACTTTATTTTCTTACATTTATATAATTATATTTTATGTATACTAACTGAGCAGAATGGTATAACACATTATATCTCCTATTCCACAAGATGTTGTATATATTTTATATGGGTGTATTATATATCATTTTTCTTCTGTATTTTTAAATATATTTCTTATATTTTATACAGGATATTCTAAATATGTACAATATGAGGTTAACTATAAAAAATGATATAATAAATTGAAGACATAATTTTTATGTATGTATATATATATATTTTTAAATGATTATAGTAATTATATTTTATTGAATCTGTATTATCATTATTAATCTTATAAATAAAAAATACCCCCCAGGATATTAATAATATTATAGCTATAGTAATTGAAAAAGAAGCTAATAATTTAAACTTTTGTAAAGAGGATAATATTTCGAATCTAATTTTTTCACAATCAATGAATATTTGTTGACCATGAATTCGTTTTTCAATATTTCTTAATGCATTTTTTAAGTTAGTGTTACAATTTGATTCACTTAATTTCTTGAGACGCTTATATATATCTTAACAATTTTTAGTACATTCGCACTTATTAACTTCGATATCATTATTACATCATTCATAATGTGTATTAATTATGTCATTAAACATTATATTAAAATTATATAAGTCTTTGAGAATTTCCAATTCATTATTAATATCTTCTTGTACATTAGACATATAAATACCTAAATCGACATCACGTTTAGCTATTTTAATCAATTTTTCATAAAATTCGTTTATTCATTGATTATGCACTGCATTTTTCGGATTATTCATATGGATCCAATAATATAAGTACTTTATATGGACATTTTTGTGTGTTAAATTTAAATTTTCAGGTGAAACATATATTAAATATAAATATTGAAGAGCTTGACAGCATAAATCTTCAATATTAGAACCAATTTCATCAGTATATTTTTGTTTAATATCCTTGCAATTTTCTATCCACATATGTTTATTTTCATCAGCTTCATTCATAAATTCTTCACATTGTGTAAATAATGAGTCCACATTTTCATACTAAAATAAGATAATAATAATAGTAATAAATAATAATATACCGTTGAACAAATTTTCATAAATCTAATAAAAAGTTATATATATTTTTAGTATAATAATGTGATTTATATTGTAATAATTCTGCCATACAATAGATGTCCCCATCCTAAATATGATTATATGCTTTTTCTGATTAATTTAATAAAATATTGAAGTTTACAAAAACATAAATATAAATTTTAAAAATAATTATACACAATATTATGAAATATTATTTACATTATATTAAAATTATACAAATGGTAGATAGAATACGTAGAGTAAAATAATTATCAATTTTTTCCCCTAATAATAGCATGTTACTATTTGTGATACGTAGTATATATTCTTAATTACTTCAGATAATAAATGGAAAACATTAGCAACCTTCATAGGTAAAAACGAAAATAACATTTTTTTTTAAAATTATGCATAAAAGCATCAGAAATACCTGAGTTTTCACTGTTCTTGATTTTAGTTTTGGAGATTAGGTTCTTATTTATGAGTGTTTACAAAATATTTTAACTTTTATATATTTATTATTGAAGTGTATACATTATAAATAATGTATCATAAAATATTATTTTCATAATTATATTTTAAAAATAATAAAAGTATTATTTTTTATTATTAAATAGAATGTGAAGTTATATTATTTTATAAATATTGATAAAAAATAAATAAACTTAATTACTTCTTGTAATTAAAATATATAACTTATAATTATACAATTTAAGGTACTTTTATAAATTTATCCCATATTGCATTAATGTTAAGAATAGGATTTATTTTATTATAACTAAGGTATATGTATTTTTATTTTCTTTGTTAAATTTATTTAAAACATGTAATAGACGTTATATTAGATCCCTTTTTAGTGCTTTATTAATTCTTGTATTCTTATGAGATTTTAATATTTTTTACATTTTTTGGACATATTTTCTTCTGTAATATGTCAATTACATCATTATTTTTTATTTTATATATATTCATTGAAACATATAACATATTTGTGCATTAGTTGTAATCTTATATTTTTCAATATATGAATAAGCAAAAGTACCTATGTGATGGTATTATCATATTTTTACCATTATTCTATTATGATAAATGTCATATATTATGCATATGTTTATTTTCAAGTATTTTATTTATACTATTTATGTTTTAACATTTTTCTTTATGTTTATATGACAGTAAAAATAAATTTAAACAAATACTCAATGCTTAGAGTGTATTATTCATATATTTACATCTAGAATGAATATTTCATTTTATAAAACTATATAATATTTATTAATAATTTTCTTACATGTATAACATTATTAATATTTAAATTGTATCATAATTTTCAATGTTTTATTTCTAGTTATTTTTTAGATAACATGTATTCGAATATTATTTACAAGCAACGAGTAGAATACAATCAGGATATTCATCTATTATAATTTATATTTACATTATAATGAAAACATAATTACCAGTATGAAAAATTATAATAATATTAGAATAATTTTAAGATAAAATATTTTTTTATCCCTTAATGAATGTCATACACATTTACTACAATTAAAATTTTGTATTTATGTCAATCTTTTCTTAATAAATATTTTATTTTTCTAAAAATATATTGTAATTTTTAAGTATATAATTATAAATTAATTATTAAATTTTAGCACTACAGTAATTACCTTGTATTTAATATAAATCATGTTAAAGAATTTTTTATACAATAAAATCACACAAGAAATAATGATGTTTAGGATGGATGAATATATAATTGAACATTATATTACAATTGAAATTAATATTAAAAAGGAAAAAATATATATAAATTAAATTCGAAAGTAATATCTATTTTATTCAATTATATTTTTAGGAACTAATAACATGTTAATAAAACATTTGTTCTGATGTAAATCATACCTACATATCAAGAAATTTCATAATGCAACAGTAGTAAATATTTTAAGCGTAAATATAAAATATTTATTATTTAATATTTTTATTATAAAATTAAATGTTATATAGCACCTGATTTTTCTTTAATATATATATATCCTTTAGGTACCTTGAAAATTAAGTTCGGATGCTATAATCTAACAAATGATACATAAAAATATATGAAAAACATTTTGATTTATTATTAATATTTACATTTTCCAATTAATAATAAATATATATTAATTATATTCTTATAGAAGTATAAATCTACTTATATGATTATTTGTTACTGTCTTAATTCTCTTTTGGAAAAATAAGAATAAATAATAATAATAATTTAAATTATGGAATTACAATTATCAGTTATTTTATTGTTATCTGATTACGCATATATGAATGAATTTACTTATATATAAGTGCTCATGTTATTAATGAAGTATGATTGAACTTTTTAAGAGAATACAGCTGAAATGTCGAATTCTCAAATATGAACAAAAAGACATTTAAAATATATTTTTAGTTAGATTATGTAAACTTAATATTTTTTAATGTTTTTATACCTGAATTAAAACTCACATAATTTGAATGCAAAATTAAAATTCAAACCAAATATATAGAACAATATTATTCTTTTTATCTAAAGTTTTAATTACTTCATGAATACCAAATCTCATAAAAATAACTAATTGAGTATGTTAAAAGGTAACTTAATATTTAGGAATATAAAATGAGAGAGATTACATATAATAATTTTTTTATATTGTTATAGATAATATAATACTTATTGTACTAAATAACAATACTCTTAAAAAAAAATAATATTATAAAAAATAATCATCATATTATAAGATATAAGAACAGTATAATGGGTGATAATTTTCCTAGCATTATTTTTCTCCAAACATATAGAAGCTATAATCTTATAATGATGCACAAGTTATGTAATCATAACATTTTTAAATTTAATATAAGTTCACCAAATATATTATAAAAAAAAAAGCACAAAAAATAAATTCAAACCATTCTTTGAGTCTCTTCAATTAATTAATAATTGAAAAATTTAGGTTAATGTAAAAATTTTGGCACAAAAGAACAAAAAATTATGTCATTTGTGTAAGATATAGTAGGATATACATCTGCAATTTACTCCTAATAAGCATTTCTGACAAGAAAGAAAAGAATTTAAACATAAAAATTATGCTACAATTGGAGATATTGTGCTTCTAGATGTTTCATTAGTTCTTATATTTTAAACAATGAATATATAATTATATAATATATGTATTAGTATCTTGAATTTTGTAAAAATATATGACCACACAATAATAAAAAAGTTCATTTTTGTGTTTTTTAATATATTAGTAGAATCAAAATAAAATATGTACATCTTTTGTACATTGATTACATGAACTGAGTGGTAATATAATAGAATGTTTGTACTTCTCCAAGAAAATAATGTGATTTTATAGTTATTGTGCAATTTTTGTACTTTAATTGATAACCTTTATAAGAAAAAAAATTAGAAGAAGTATTAGATGAAGATTATTGTATCTAAAATATGGAAAATTTGCATAATAATTCTTATAATTTCACCCATAATTAGACACGCAAACAACGTTTTACTCAATATATATATTGTTGGTGCTGTCCTTTTCACATATACTATATAATTATAATAGATATACATATATAATAAAAGAACTTAATTAAGATCCTTGAAATGTATATATTTCAAAGCTTTGAATATAAATGTAATTATAGTTCTTTATAAAATAATGATAATATAAAAAAAAATTATTGAAGATTAATATATAATTGTATATATACAAAGGATATACAAAGTTCGCTTAAATGCATGATTCATTTATTATTATTACTTTTTATGAGCATACACTAAATTTAATACTTTTCTGCACATATATAATATAAATTAATTTTATGGTGTATTGTTAATCCATGTGCATATATCAGAATTATTTTTCTTAACCATTAGTTCGATATAACAAATATATAATAATTAATGATTTCTATTTTTTTGTTAATATACTACTAAAAATTATATACAGGGTAAAGTAAATAAAAACATGTGCCTTAATGCTTTTTAAGAGATTAAAAAATGCTTTTAATGATATAGGTTTATATCTAAATACGGATTCAAAAAGAAAAGACTCATTGTTTTGATGCCTAAGGTGTCTTCAATACTAAAACATAGAATATTTTTTTTGAGAAAATATGTTTAAGACATAAAAAAAATATAATAAAATATATTGATTAGTAATATGAAAGGAAAAAATATACATTATGTTTATTTCACTTATTATTTTCCACTTTCTATAGAATATTTATTTGTTTTTTCTATTAATATCATTGAGTATAGAATTATCCAATGTCTTATATTTAAATATACTATTATAAATATTAATATACAAATAAAATAATATTATACATAATTTTTGCAAATATGTATTCTATAATATTCCTTAATTTTTTATATCCACGCAAAAAAAGCATAGATTTATACATTATCGTATTTTATACAGCATTAATTAGATATTCTAACAAATTATTGTTCATTCAGATTTGTTTGGTATTATAATAAATTAACATCATTATGTATTATATCAATATATAAGGACTAATTTCTTAATGTGATATAATTGCAATAAAAATAAAAAAAAATTCATAAACACATAGAAAATGAAAAATGTATTTTGTTCTTCATATTAAAATTAATAATATATATATATCCCAAAGAGAACAAGTTTTTATGAAATTCCATGCATATAAAAATTACACAATATATAATTCAAAGATATTGCAGATTTTAGAGAAATATTTTTTTAACCTTGTATTAAAAAAAGTTATAATAAATTATATTATTATTTCGAGAAAAATATTTAAATAAAAATTAAATCAAATTTATCACAATTCTCATGAGATATTCTATGTAATATAATTACTTGATATACAAGTAACTTACGCCTTTATGTTATTCAATAAATAATATATGAAAAATTAAAAGTACACAATACTAAACAACATATGAATCATATTTTATTCAGACTGATATATTATAGTGTTCGAATAAATTAGTTTTTTATTTATATTAAATATTTATGTTTTAATTATATTTTTGGTACACAAATATTTTACATTTTTCATATATTGAATGCATAAGTATAGTATTGATACTGACAAAGAAAAAAAAAATAATAAAAATTAAAAAAGTAATAAAAAGAATTTTTATTTTGATTAATGACATATAAAGTGTATATGTAAATTTATTATATCATAAAATTAATATTTCATGGCTATTTCCTAATCATTTTATTAAAACAAACCGTACGTCTTATAGTAAATGATATATACATTCAAATGAAAGAAATACCCTATGCATACTTCATTTAATTATAATTTATTTATATCATAAACATATATTTACTTGGCAATAATGTTGTCTATATTATCATGGAACAAGATCATAGAATATAAGAAATTATATATAATAAATACATTAATTCAGAGTAATTCAATGCTTATATATGATTATAATATTAAATTAATATACATTAAATTCTGAATGGGAATATGCCTAATTTTATATCATTTATGTACGTTGAATAATATGTTTATGTATAGTTTATGTAAACTAAGTTAAATCATAATATTATAAATATAAAAATTTTTTTATAAAAATAACAGATATATAATAGTTTAAGCTACAAGCACTAAGCATTTGTATTTTGTTAGTATACCACATTAAAATCAATTAAGTATATATATGTGTTTGTCTAATATTAATGATTGTATGAATATGCATAATTTTTAATTTCTTACATGAAGTTACTACTTTTTTATAAAAGTGTTATATGTATTAAAATAATATATGAGTAGTGTTTATTAATTTATATTACTATATACTTCCTAGATTGCTAAAAAAAAAAAATTTTCATATTACTAATTTACATGAAATAAATGAATCATTTAACTCCAGCGAAAAATATTACAATATAATAATGTATAATAAACGTAAAATAAAAATATATTCAGTATTTTTTTTGTAGAATATATTATTCTGAAAAATATAAGGATGATGGTAATTTTTATTCTATGCATAATGAAAGAACGCTTATATATATACAATTTTGTGCTCCAAATAAATACATGAAATAAAACCTTATTAGATTAAATATGCAATTACAATGTAATTTATGATATAACTTTTATTCTAAGGATAAGTCTTTATCAACACTACCTTCTGTTGCATTTTATAAATTAGTTGAATCATCAAATGAAACTTGTCATATTGAAAATGAGACAGAATTGCGTCATGTATTAACAGTACACAATAAAATTCAGCCTATCATAGAAGAAATTTTAAAATCTATATGTTACATACGTAATCATTACACATTGGTACCTAATCAAAAAGATTTGTGTGATTATTTTTACTATTGGTTAGGAAATAAGATACATAATATGTTAAAAAACGATGGTAACTTCAATGGAATTATTGATGCATGCTACACGGGACTATCTATTAATGGAGGACCTCGTGTATGTAATAAACCTCTTAATTATGTTGATATTAAAGATTTTATACAAATGAAAATAATTCACGATTATAATATGGACCGTGAAGTTATTGAACAATATCTTAGTAATACAGAAAGCTCGTGTTTCCCTGAGATTAAAAGATATCTCGAAAAGGTTGATGAATTTTATAATGGCATTTATAGGGCATGTTTTACGAATGAAAAAGCACAATATTGTGATATATATAAAAAATTATTCCCTGAAGATAAAAATGGGAGTAATAAATTGAGTCCAATAAAATGTAAAGAACTTAAGGAATATTACATATCTCAACTCAATGTTAAATTAGACACTCATGTGTCCAAAAAAATTTTAGAGCCTCCTACACAAGAGAATTCGTTACAAACTGTTCTTGAAAGTACGAGTACATCATTTAAATATATGATGGATTTTGCCATTCCTTTTGTGGGCATATCAATTTTGTTATCTGTTTTATATAAGGTACATATAGAAAAAAATTCAATATAATTATTGTGCATATATTCATAATACATATTATAATGATAAATACAATAATAATATCAAATTATTATAAATAAGTAACATATATAATTTATTTATTAGTTTACTCCAATTGGAGTAATGCTGCAAAATTTTTTTAAAAACAGTGGAATATTAACGAAAAGAACAAATGATTATAAGAATGAAATATCATCAGAACATTATTTAGAACCTTATGAATGTAATTCTCATACAAACTCGTTTAAAGTAACTTATCGTCCCACATAATATTTAATTATACATTATACCAGATGATAGAGAAACGTAATAAACAACATTCTCTAGAGGTCCCTTTAAATAAATCCCATTATGTAAAGGTTATGCAAAAAATGTCTTGAAAAAAAAAGTTAAAGTAAGATAGCTGATTTTCGTCGTTTTATAAAGCTTATATACATTGAATTAATAAGAAATTAAAATTTATTTAATAAGTTACATTCCTCAGTATAAAATAAATCTTTGAATAATTTCACATTAATTTTTTGTTTTAAATTGTAATCATAGTATTGCATATGTAATATTGATGAGCATGAAAATATGTCTTTTCCTCCTATTCTCTCGGAAAACAATATAAGCTACACATTAACGAACAAGAAAATATTATTTTAGAAATTTAGAGAATATGATTTTCATCAAACAATAATTTTTTTTTAAAATTACCATAGATTCATGAGTTATTTATACTTTTATATCTCAAAAAAAAAAAGAATAATCATTTGCTGTAACCATTAAATGTAGTAGTCAGCACAATATCAGTGCTCATTTGAGGGGTTACTTTAGAATTTCAAAATATGATTAAGACAAAGATTATATATAAATATTTTTTAAACTAATATAAATAAATATAATAATTTATCATATTTAATGCTGTCATTGTTTCTCATGATATATGAAAAATTCATATAAAATTTGTACAGACACTTATAGCTATAAGACTTTTAAAGTACAATTCTGCAGTAAATCCTTATCTAAATATAAATTAAAACATTTTTATAAAATCTTATTAATATAAACAATAAAAAATCCTATATCCACATACATGTTAATAATATAGGATACTATGTCTATGTAATGTTAAGGAATATTAAGACAACATATAAAAATTATACAGAAATATAAATATAATAATAATGTAATAAAATAAAAAAAAGTGTATCAGCCTAACATTTTTAAATATTGAATAAAGAATAATTAATTATTGCATATATAATATATACATATGTAGATATATATCCATTCAAATAAATTAAATTTATTTTAAGTGAATGGGGTATAATTAATATTTTTTTAAGTGAATGTTTAATAAAAAAATATATAACATGGATATGATTAAAAATAATGTGAACAATGATAATTAAAAATGTAAAATTGAAACAATAATAGCTTTTCATGTGTCATAATATATATATTTATACTATAAATTATATTTAAGTTAAGTTCAATAGAAAATTATTATAAATATAAATTCCAAAAATATATCAACATTTTAATACGGATAATATAAATTATCAATTTTTAAATAGCATATATAATAAAATTTATTTCCTTTAATGATTTAAGAATATAGTCTAAATATATACATATATATGTGCTCAAAAATCACGCTAATAATATAAATTTTTTTTTATGGAAAAGGAATAATATGAATATATATATATAAATATAATACTAATAGATAAATACCTAGATATATACCTTTGTGTTCTTATAATATGATTGATATATTACTCTTTTTATATTTATGAATATATTGAATAACAAAATATTTCATGTTCTTGTAAGTATTATTTTATTTATATTATTTATTGTATTAATATATTTATTTTATATATTTTTTTATTTATATATTGAAAATTTTTAAAAAGAAAGATTATGTTTTTCTTATTCTTTTTAATAACTCACTCTATATATAAACAATATTATTCATTATTTATAATTTTATTCATTTTTGTACATGATGTTAACAAAAAGAACAAATTAAAGCTTGAATTTTATAGATTAATTAATGTAATATAAAATATTGTATAATATATATATTATCAATTCGTGTAATATTAAGTAACTATCATTAACAATAATTGTAGAATCAAAATCCATATATGAGTAAAAATATATTTTACGATATATTTAAAAAAAAAAGCTAAATCTAGAATTTTTAATCATTCAATAAACCTGTAAAAATCTATTTATTTATTAAATTTAGAATTAAAAATAATGTGTATAATGTTATGTCATTTATAATAAAATGAAGAAAGAACAAACATTTACTAATTTAATGTATATATATATAAATTATTATATTATGTGAGCAAAGAAAATTTTAAATGATAAAATAATAATAATTTCTTGTTTATATTTTTTTATTTCACATATTAAGAATTTATTTGATTAGCTAAATTTTGTATTTTGTATTTTACGGAAGATAATTATACATTTGGATGATCAAAAAAAACAAATATATAATGTGACTATGGTTAAATGATGATTTACTTTTGGATAATACCCAATGAAATAAAAATATGTATTCAATACATTATAAAATTAATTATATGGAAATATAATTTTGTTTCCTAAATATAATAATTTGTATATTTATTAAAAGCATAACAAAGTATAAAAAATATTAATATGTAAAGAACTAGAGTCAATGAACTCGTACAAGTAACAAGAATCATACGCCCCAAGCATGTAATTTTATAGAGCAAAGCATGAAATTATATTACTAATTACTATCAATAATTAAATGATCATATAATAATATACATTAATTTGTGAAACCCTTAAATGTATTTGAGATATACCTACCTGCCAGTTATATTATAAAAAGCTTTGATTAATTTTTTGTAATATAGTATATTATTTTTTTTGGTTTTTATGTAATTCATAATATAATTAGTGACTGAAAAAACTAAATTCAGGAGCATCATACAAATTACATTGAAAAATATATTTTACATTTTATAAATAATACAAAAATTTTAAAATCTTTTTATTAAAACCTTCATCATAGCATTCATGTTTGCTAATATAATTTCTAGATTTTTAATCTATGTATCACCATAAATATGTTATATTTCTATAATGTACTTACTATATATTACCTTAATATTTTATATTCCTGGATATTTTATATTGAAGTATTCAGAAAATATATATTTTATATAAACTTTCTAAATGCTTCATACACTCATTTTTATATTT